TATCCAAGGTGTACTACATGGAGGTTACTCGCTCGGATTTGCATCTGTTGTGTGTGTGATCCAGCTAACTAAGGCAAGATCGATTCCTCAACATATCCTCATATTTCGCTGAAGTCAAATTGCCAAAAAATTGCTCCATAAAACGTGTATGAAACGTCTCGTTAGTTCCTTCATTTACCGCTATGTGACGCACTACATGCAGTCTAACTCGCATTTAAAATTCAACTAAGAATGTATAAAGCTATCAAAGAACGAGCACCTTCTAACTTCAGCTTTGAGCAAGCAGAAATTAATTGTTATCGTCCAAATACAACGTACGATTAATTAAAATTAAACGTTTTAAAAATGGCTGGCGACTTGTCGGAACGTGAAAGAATCACTATCCTCATGATGCGTGGATGGGGTGATAACGAAAGATCGTTCTCTGATGTCGTTCGATTATTTAATGACACGTATCCGAACCGTCGAATTAATAAGTCCACTGTGTTAAAAACAATAGAACGTTTTAGACAAACTGGTAGCGTAAGAAATCGCTCTAAGTCAGGAAGACCATTGTCTGCAACCAACGAAGAAAAACAACTTGATGTTCTGCAGACATTTATTGAAGATCCCAATTCTAGTGTTCAGAGAGTCGCTCAAACTCACGATATTGCTCCCATGTCGGTTTGGAGAATTTTAAAGAAGAACAAGTTCCATCCATATAAATTGCAATACGTTCAAGAATTGTAAAACGGAGATGAGGAGCGTCGTATACATTTCTGTGAAAGAATGATGGCACTAATAGATGTCCGGCCCATCTTCCCTTATCAAATTGTTTTCACAGACGAGGCAACTTTTACCTTAACGGGAGAAGTTAATAATCAAAATTTTCGTTTCTGGTCAGATGAGAATCCGAATTGGGTGCGGGAAACTCACACACAACATCCACAAAAAATAAATGTATGGTGCGGAATAATAGATGGCTATTTAATAGGGCCGTTTTTTTTTGAAGAATATTTGAACGCTCAAAGGTATGAGAGATTACTTGTTGATCAAATAATTCCAGCCATACAGAATACTTTTCCAAATAATTTCCAAGAAATATGGTTTCAGCATGATGGAGCTCCTGCTCATTTTGGTGCAGGACCACGTCGTATTTTAAATGAGACTTTTCCGCTACGGTGGATAGGAAGAAGGAACGGAAATGAGGGAGGAGAGGATTGGCCACTTCGGTCACCAGATCTAACTCCTCTTGATTATTATCTATGGGGATATCTGAAGAGTAAGGTTTACAGAACAAAACCTAAAACCATTCACGAATTGATACAGCGAATAAGGGATGAAATGGCTTTGATACCTTTTGAAACGAATCGTAAAGTCATTTCTACATTCTACCAAAGATTAGCATATTGTCAGGAAGTAAATGGCAGCCACTTTCAGCATTTACTTTAACACATTGAAACACATTTGCAATCGTTTGGTGCAACCTAACCTGATCTCTGTATACACGCACCGCACGCACGCACACGCACACATTTCGAACAATTATTATGATAAATGAGCATCCACAAATTTATTTACTGTTTACTATGTCGATTGCTTTCCAGGTCTTTAAATGCTCGATTGTAATTTGGTTGGGTCTTTGCTTTTGCTGACTGGATCCACGACCGATCTTGCCTTAGTTAGCTGGATCACACACACAACAGATGCAAATCCGAGCGAGTAACCTCCATGTAGTACACCTTGGATAATGTTAATACCGGCGCTACTCTATCATTCAACCCTCATAACTCGCAAAGTACTTAATAAAAATGAACATTATTATAGTGTTTTGGAAAGCTCTTGAATTAAGCTATAAGAATATGCAATCAAATGTAGGGGGTGTCATTTAAAAAAGTCAATGTGACCTTGACCTGACCTTGACGACGCCATCCAAGGTCAAACTGATAGAATCAGTATATAGATCTTCTTAAACCCTACAACTTTTGTTGGAAACACTTTTCTGTAAAACGTATATTTTCCGAGATATTTAGGGGTTTCCACACTTTTGGTAGACCCTGTATATATATATATATATATATAGAGCATTATACATCTCAAAAGAAATCTTGCAACATTTCTTTGATGTATATATTAATCTATACTAATGATATACGTAATAACATACGTAATAAACATATTAACTATATAAATAACTCACCGAAAATGTGACTTAAACTCATCATCACTATATTTCCAAACAACTTTTTCAATATGTGGCGTTCTGCTGTACGCCATACAGGCGTAACGGCGTATAGCGCCGAGCGCCTGGCCGCACGGCAAACCAGGCGCGCAAGCAAGCGCGCGGCAGCGCGAGTATTCAGACGCCGATCTTCGCGTAAGTGAGATCCGGCAAGACTCGTATATAAGGCCGACCGCGGCAAGCCGAAATTGAGTCTCAACTCGCAAGTCAGAGGGGATAAACCACTCAGTAGACGAACCAGCTAGAGTACTCTTTTGGAGTTTTTGGGCTCCTGTAACCTGTGGCTCTCGCCATACACCGCCAACGGAGCCGCATAGCTCGGCCAGCGTCGACGCCCCGATCACCAGGGCCAATACGACAGCCCACCAGTGGAGGCGCCGAACCGGAAAGGAGAGTCTCGTTTGAGCTGCTGCCTTGGAAGCTACAGCCAATAGACCTGGAGCCACCGAGATTTACCAGGCCACCTCGTCATCTGCTGAAGATTTGGGACGTACGCATCCGGTGATACACCTCATCAACCGGACCTTAAGCAGTTCCAGGAATCCTGTCACCACTGCTATCTTCATCAGTGGGCAGATCTACAAGGGCCACGCAGACTACAGCAACGAGCCGAGTACACCGGAGTACGCAAGCCACTCTTCAGCATCCGGCGACGGCAGAGCAGAGAACGCAGTCCGACTCCGACTGGGAAACCACGACGACCACTGCAGCTACACAGACGGAGGCGACCGCAACGGCGGAAGTGGACGAAAATAATAATCGTCCATGGAGTAAACTCCGCTATACCAAGACTCTCCCGCGAATATCTTATAGGGAACGACTGTAAAAATTAATCGGCCCCTTTTATGTAAATATACTGTAAATACATGTGATTATTTTACACCGTCTTCTTTAATCTGAGGCGCACCTAATCAACTCCTGCGGCACCGCTTCTCCTGCCTAAGTAAGAACACGCGATTAAGGCGGACACACATCGAACCAACCGCCATAAATGTAATTTTTACAGCTTTTATTTTTATTCTAGGTACACGTGCTACTACAGATTTTTTTATTAAGATAATCTTTTGTAAAGCAAAATCATCATCTGATTCATCGTCAGATTCAACAATATCTTCCAGTATTCCAACAAAGAATAATTATTTCTTGCTCCTTTCTTTCCATATTTTTAACCCTTACGAGTTACGAGACTTTTGTTTACTTCACTGCAAGTACTGAAAAGAGCGTTCCTTAATGACTAAATGTTTAAGCGTTAAGGCCGCAGCACACACTTTTGCATAAACGCATAATCATAAACATAAGAAAATTGATTGGTTCATTTTCTTATGCATATACTTGGGAACCAATCAATTTCCTTATGCTTATGATTATGCGCTTATGCAAAAGTGTGTGCTACGGTTTTTAGCAGTACGCTGACAAAAATGGAACGCTCTTGGAGAGCACGCTTTATGACGTCACACTCAGCGCTGACAGTGAATTTTGGAACGTACCCAGAATAGACCGGTCCCTATCGTAAGAGGCAGCATTGAAACATCTAAAGGACAGAGAGATGATTCCGGGTATCTCTGTCCTTCTCTTTTGTCTCGTAGTGGGGACACTGATGGGATGAGTGAAAATGAAGCGAGCATGCACACTGCTTTTCCCTCAACTCCTACAGTGTCTCCACGAAACAAAAGAGAAGGACAGAGATACGGAATCATCTCTCTGTCCTTTAGATCTTTCAACGCTGCCTCTTACGGTAAGGGCCGGTCTATTATATGGTTGTGTTCCAAAATTCACTGCCAGCACTGTAATCGTTACGTCATAAAGCATGCTATCAACAGCGTTCCATTTTATGAAAGCGTGCTGTAAGTATGAATACGATGTTCAAAACGGAACGCTACTTCAGTGCTGGCAGTACTAGCAATTGAGTAATCTATTTAACTTAAAAATATGGACAGACGACAAAAATTTTTGATTGGAACGTATTTAAATTTAATACTTGAAGAATCAGATGAAGACTCAGGCGATGAATTTGATTCGGAAGAAGTTATAAATTTAATTAAAAATTATTTCGAACGTTCCTAAGTACGTTCCAAAAATTATTTCAAACATTCCAACGTACCTAAAGTACGTTGCAATAATTATATCGAAAACGTAGTTTGACAATGTACAGATAGTGATTTTAAGTCATTTTTGGTAAGTAATTTATTTGATAAATTATTATTGATTATTTAATCAATATTTAATCAATATTTTTGTGAAGAAATATAATTTATAATTTATAATCATATATAAAAGTTCGATGTTGTTTTAATTTATTTTAATGTGTTTTTCAGTCTTAGTCGATCAACGTTTATATTTTTGTTGGAACTATTAAGTCCACAATTAATAAAACAATCCGAAGGACGAGGTAGACATACTATCAATCCAGAAAAAACATTATTATTAACAATATGGATGATGGCAACTCCTAATTCATACAGGTAAGTTTAATTTTAGATAAAAAGATAGTACCAATGACCAAAATCAGAACATAAGATGTTTTAAAGACATTATATATATGTTTTAAAGACATTATATTTAATAAAGTATATAACAAGATGTAATAAATACATAATATTTAATATTTACTTATTAATTCTATTCTATTATTAATTTTAGATACGTTGCTAATCGATTCGATGTAGGAAAAGCAACAGCTTGGAGATGTGTTCAGAAAGTTGTGAATGTATTATATTCACATCTTAACACATTTATTACATGGCTAGATAGTAGAAGACCATTTTCAGCTCGTGTCCATATATGTTGTAAACAGACAAAAATAGAATATAAAATGTTAAACAGATATAGAATATAATGTTAAACAGATAAAATATAATACATATAATACATGTATATAACATATAATACATAAATATAATACATGTTCTTTCGTTTGAAAATTATTTTTTTAATTTTTTTACCTTTTGTATCGATTTCAGTACTGCAGTTTGCAGTATCATCAGATTTGAATTGCCTCTGTTTCATCATGTCTCACTTCATCATATCTTGCATCTGTATCTGTAAATGTATCTTCTAAAATAAAATATATAGTTTATTAATTTGACTATTTGAAATTGTCCATTTTTTATGGACAATTTTAAATAGTTAAATTAATAAATTAAACATTAAAATAATTTGTTTGTTTGATATCTGTTGATTATCTGTTTGTATGGCATTTTGCAATTCCATATGCGTACCTTTATTTTTTTGCTTGACGCAATAATGAATAAGCAAATTCATTATCTGAAAAATTACAAAATAAAATAGTATAATATGAATGTTATAGTAAATAATAATATAATATGTATATTATAATAAATAATGATAATGACACTATTTGGGCATTCGAGAATAATAGATAAATTAACTCAAACTATAAGCAAATAGGTTATGTATTAATTTCTATTCCGAAATATTTGTAAAATGAATGCATATATTACAAAAGTTGTAAATTTACCATTTTTTGCTCTTGCAGCATCTGTAATCGATAATAAAATTTTATATTCTTCGTTATTTTTTGCATCGATGAGAGTGAACTTCTCCATGGTTTCCGTCATCTTAAATATTGTAACTGCCTCGAGACACCTCCGATTAGACATAGTACGATTGGACACAACTGGCTTTGATTGACTAATCGTGTTTGATCGTGCTGGTTACCCTAGGCATCGGTCAATATAATTGGCTGTGTCTAATCGTACTGTGTCTAATCGGGCAATCCCCACTGCCTCACCAGCCGCAGTAGTTGCAGCAGGAAATGACGATAAAATCAATGATGTCGATTGTTCTCTCACAGCACTGCCGTAGCGTGCTGTTGTGACGTCCCGCCATTTTAAAAATTACTAGATTTAGTTATTATTCACTTACCCATCTTGTTTCTTTAGTATAACCATGGGGTAAGAACGAATATTCAATTTTATTAATTATAATTCAATTTTATTCATTATTATCATTAATTTTAACTTTAATATACGCATATATGAATTCTAACATTCAAAATATTGATTATAACACTTGCTTACCGTTCCTATTATACATAGTTATTTAACCTGCTAATTAATTATGTAGTCCTTAATCGATATATATTTTATATATGTTTTTTTTATATATGTTAAATTTAAAATTTAGATTTAAATGAATGCAACCGAAATAAATAATTTAAGTAAATAAGGTATTTCAAAGGAATTATTGGATTAATTTTAAATGAATAACTACCAAATTATTTCAACTCTTTGAAATGCTTTATTTAAAACTCATTATGAATTTACCAGTGTAAATAATTTCCTTTATATGCTGTAATTTAAATTCGATTATTCTACCTAAATTGAGCTATATTTCTAAATCTTTTCTAAAATATAAGAGAAGTTATATATATAATGACTCTATAATCCTAATACCGATAGCGTTAGATATTAATATTAAAATTAAGAGCGCATAACTTTTGCGTGAAGTAATCAAAGAGGAAGTCATAAATATGTCAAACATCGATTTTTCAGAGATGTCGACCGACACCTCCGATGAAATTCACGCATTACTCTTTGATCACCGCCGCGCTTCTATGAAAAAGATATCTATGTCTAAACAATCAATAAGAAATTCGGTGGTGCTTCCGAGTACGACGTGGTCCGATGAAGAGATCATCTTACTCGAGAATTCCTTTCAAAGATCATGCAAAAGATCATGCAAGGAACAAAGGAATTACTAGTATATAAACCCCGGATTTCGGGCGCGAGCGAACAGTAGTAATAATAAAGCGGGGTCTACAATGCAGAGTCGTAGAGTCGCAGAGTCGTACAGTCGTAGAGTCGCAGAGTCGCAATGTCATGATGCTTGTCTACAATAGCTTTTCGCAAATCGCTAACAACCAATCAGAGGTGCGTTCCAATACCCTACCTTGGTTACTAAAATCTATAATATACGTAACGTAAATTATAGCTTTTTAGTAACCAAGGTAGGGTATTGGAACGCACCCCAGAAAACAACGTTCTGCTAGTGAGAGGTTATCCATAGGTCCATAGGCGTTCTGATAGTGAGAGGCTGTCCATAAAGTTTTTAAATATGAATTGCTTGCAATTGCGTGTAATTTTTACTATATTATTATTATCTGGTGCATATTTGCATGTGACATCGATATATTTAAGAAAGAGACGCTATAAAAGGAGATGGTGGATAAGACCTATCAACCGAACTCGAAACGATTTGGGATATTTCAATAAACAATTTAAAGAAGCATATGAAACAGATCATGAAGAATTTTTTAATATGACACGAATGATACCTTCTCAATATGATCATTTATGTAATCTTGTCAGACCTCTGCTCACAAAAAGAAGTTTACGAGAACCTATTTCAGTAAATGAACGAGTAGCTGTTACTCTCTTGTAAGTAAATGAAATGTTATCGTTTTCTTTTTTAGATAATTTAGCTTATATTATTAAATAGTATCCTTTTTTATTGTTCTAGATTCCTTGCTCATGGTGACAGTGCCAAGTCAAAAGCATGGGATTTCCGAATTGGCAAATCAACTATATATAAAATTATATATGAAACTTGCGATGCAATTTGGCAAGCTCTTCATGAGCAATATTTACCCAAACCTTCGAAAGAGATATGGGAAATGATAATTGATGGATTTTGGAACAAGTGGAATTTTCCTAATTGTATAGGCGCACTAGACGGGAAACACATCACTATTCAAGCTCCACCGAACAGTCATTCTTTAAATTATAACTACAAAGGATTTTTTAGCTTTATATTGATGGCAATTTGTGATGCCAATTATAAATTTATCTGGGTTGATGTCGGTGACTATGGTAATATATATTTATAATATGAATCTCTTCTTATGTACTGAATACAACAGTTAATTGAATTGTGTTTTGCAGGTTCTAATAGCGATGGTGGAGTATGGGCGAACAGTAATCTTGGTCGAAGTTTGGAATCTGGTACAGTAGACATCCCAGCTCCAAAATTATTGCCTGGTACAACAACTTTGCTGCCCTGTACTTTAGTGGGAGACGAAGTGTTCCCTCTCAAAACGTACCTCATGAGACCATATCCAAGAAAATCGCTCACCAGTGATTCACAGCGAATTTTTAATTATCGCTCGTCCAGAGCAAGACGAACAATTGAAAATGCTTTCGGGATTCTTACTTCTAGATGGAGAATTTTAAGAAGATCAATTCAATGCAAGGAAGAAACTGCTCATAAAATTGTGCTTGCTCTTGTTGTTTTGCACAACTACATTATGTCCTTTAATGAACGCAAATATTATCCGCTACATTTTGTGGATCAGGAAGTTAATGGTATAATTACTCCAGGGCAATGGCGCAATGAAGAATTAGGATCACATATTGTACGTATTAGTCAAGTTGGCTCAAACCGAACTGCTTACACTGCAAGTGTTCAACGAGACATACTGAGAAAATATTTTATGACAAACATTGGAGCAGTTGACTGGCAATTTGACTGTGCATTGAGGGGTTACAACATTAATATCTCTTCATAGCAATGCAATATGTATAAACATGTATGTGAGTTAGCAAGGAAGTTTAGAAATAAAATACTAATTTACGTAAAATATGGTTTTATTTAATCTTCACTTTTTTCTATAGAAACACATGCTTTCTTACGTAACGTTATTGCATAAAACAAAATATATTCTTTAACTTACAGATTTAATATTGCAAAATCAAACTCTTTGTTTTGTTGCAGTCTCAAATATTAAATATTTATACTATATCTGAAGAACATCTTAACACTAGTTATATATTGAGCTACGCAACTTTGCTTAATTAAATTATACTCTTGTCACATTTGTGAAAAATTTTGATTCGCTTTCGAAGAAGTCGTTGACTAAATACTAAATTATGAATACTCAGTTTATTTGTATCCACATATTTGGCAAATTATACATGTTTTGTATACTGAGACAATAGAAAATGAGATATGTTTTAGATGGCAAAGCAGCTCGCTGAGTGATTGAATGTAATTGGTTCTTTTTTGTAGATCCAATCAATCACATTCAATCGCTCATCAAATATGTTAGCCGTTTCGACGTACATGTCCAATGACTTTTATTAATGGCTGCGTTCAGCAGAAAAAGCAGCTTTGCAACTGTTGTAAAATTCTGATTGGCGAATACTCTTAGATTCAGTTAAAATTAAGAGCACACGCCAAGATTTACGAATTTTACCACAGTTGCAAAGCTGCTTTCTCTACTGAACGTATCCAATGTTAATCACTATTAAAATTAAAATATTGTGACATACTATAAACTATTTAAAATAATGTAAAATATAATTAGTAAAGAAATAAAATCACAGTCAATATGAGAAAAATACTTTTCAGAAATAATCTTTTAGTAAAATTGCAATTTGAAATTGCAATTTTGTAACTTAACACTTAATATTTTATATAAAACTCCAAAACAATAACAAAATATATTTGTACCACGTTTTTTTCAAAAAAAAAAATGAATGAAAACTTATAAAGATTTATGAAAACTTATTTTAGCGAATAAACTAGTAGCTGTGATTAATTTTTCTGTTTGATTACATAGTCTTGTTATTCAATATTGTTGAAATGATTCTAATACCTCTAACATTTTGATCACGCATCTTATTTTTTGTTGTTCAGGCACACATTTTAATCCATGTAACAAGAATGACATAAAATATTTATCTTCTTCTGTGTCTGCTTTGGAAGTTGCATTCAGGAATGTTGGCAAAGCTGAGCAAGCTGCAGCTATTGTTTGAGATGATTCTTTAATTACAGAATCTATATTATCAACATTAGTTTTCTTTCTTTTTTTAATATCCGATTTAGGTACTGTGAGTGAGCAATCACTTATTTCATCACCACCAATACTCTTATTAAACTTATTCTCTGAAACTTTTTACAGATATAAGAAGTGCATTTTTTCATAATCAGAAATTGAATTTTCTCTGAAAAAGAAATAATTTGATCACTCACTTTTAAAACTGTTGGCAGGAACGTTTTCTTTACAAACGGAAGACCCTGGCGAATTTAATGTTATCGATTCTTCTGAATCTGAAATATGTAGTCGTGGATGTTTTCTCATTGACGATTTGGAGAGAGGCCTGGGAAGAAAACTTTTTCCAGAAGCAGGTGAAGGACACGTGAATTTGGTATAATTGGAGAATGTCCTGCAATATAATTTTCCTGAATTAATAAAAAAACAGTTGTACAAGTATAAATAAGGAATTTAATGTGAATGAAATAAATAAAGTTAATTAAATAAATCGAAGTATTAAATAAATGTCAAAATATCAGTATTTACTTTCGTGGAATATACAGATGACTCATAAAACGATGAATAGCCATGCTTTGTGGTGTTAATAAGTTTTCATATGACACATTATCTCTCCCTGAACCTGACCGCCCTTGTTGTTCTGTTAATGTCGATATTTGTCGCCTTGCGCGACTATAGAGATTTCGCAGCGTATCCCATCTCTGCTTTGCATCTGGTCCTGTAGAAAAATCATAGAATGTGTTTACAGACATTGACACATGATTTTACGTATAACCTATACATAAACAACTAGCACTTACCACTTAGCGGATGTTTTAGGGCTTTGTCAATAGACATCCATGTCATTTCTTTTTCTTGTACATTTTTATATCCAATTTTTCCTTTAGCATAAAGTTTAGGGTTGCCTTCAACAAGCGCAATTAAATCCAAGTCATCTTGAATTTTATTATCTTCCAAGACGGTGGTTGCTATTTGGTTTGAATTTTCTTCGTTTTCCTCTTCGTTTTCCTCTTCATTTTCCGACTCCAAATATTCATATTCGTTATAATCCATATTTAAAACACACAAACTATGATTATGAAAATGTTAATTTATAATCTTTTTCCTTTCTTCTTCTCTCTCTTTGGGCTATTTTCTCGCTAGTTGAAATGAAATGCGTACAGTGTGTAATGTCCTAACCCTAATCTAACTTAATCCTAACAATATTCTTTTCTCATTGGTCAGTCGCAGCAACATATGGTGTGGTCGTAGTCGTTGGAATAGGAATTGAACCAATTCGAACGACTACGAATACGACCATGCTACGACTGTGCTACGACCGTGCTACGACGGCTCTTGCGACTCTTAAGACTCTTAAGACTCGCATTGTAGACCCCGCATAAGAGCACAGTAGTAATAATTAGTCAGTAGAAAATACTTACTGTCAGTCGCTTTTGTCAGTGTCATTTCGTCGCTATTACTTTTATATTCTTGCCATTCGTTAATCATTATAATTAAACTATTACTTTTGTATCAATTTGCTATATCATTCGGTCAAATTCAAATAAAAAAATTATAATTGTGCATATCTACCGTGTCAATTTTTGGAAAAACCCAGACCTTGTGTATACGAAGGCGACCAAGATCAGCAGAAATCAACTTCTGAGTGATAAGTACCAGATTCCTTCACATTCTTATTTTATTCTCGCGTTTCCAACTCAATTGTTCGTGAAATAATATTCACCTTCCTTGCATTCACCACATTTCCTGAAACAAGATATCAAGAATTAAATAAATAACAATACTGTCAAGTACTAGCACGCCGCTGATAGTATTCCTTTTCTTACTCAACATAAAGATTGCAATAACTTATCATTTATTCTGGCAAGCGTCAGGGTAATTATCAATTAAAATCCATAATACAACTCTCATCCATTAAGCGTCGGGTGCCCCTTTCCCTTAAGATCTCTCCAGGCATCCTCTGTCATGCCGGGGACGTCCGCACTCTCCCATTTTTATTCCAAAAAAATTCATTACCAGCTCTAGCCAACCCCAGATTTCCATCGTCTCCGGGCATCCACTGTCATGCCAGGAGGCATCCAATTTCCTAAATTAATTCATTAACCGACGCTTCACGGAATGTATTAAACGAAATTTGAATTTATATAATCTACTGTCATCAACACAAACGTCTTTTCTTATACAGGGATACAGCATCTTCGCGGTGCCGTCCGAAAATCTTCTTGCTCTTTCCCCTATTTTTCCGTCGCTTCCGGGCATCCTCTGTCATGCCGGATGCATTCTAATTTCCCTATGCTCCGTTATCATAACGTTATTCCGCCCTAAAGTCCCGTCGTCTCCGGGCATCCATTGTCATGCCGGAGACATCCATATCCTTATAATTTATTGACGTTTCAGTTGAACTTAAAATCACAAGAATTAATTGCATAATTTAATAATTTGCGCTGACGCTAACCCAGATGATAATAATAATAACAAAATAAATATACACTAATTTCCTCAATTAATTCCTTAAATGGTGAATTGACAATTGAAATCTAAAAAGAAAAAGCATAGAGCAGGTAAAATAACCCCGTGAATATCGCAATATCTCTCGATTCGAAATAAAATATTAAAATCAAACTGAAACCCTAATTACGTCAAATCAGACAGAAGAGTTTTTCTTCCGCTCTAAAGATCAAAGCTAAATTTCTCTTTTATTTACCAGGAAATTTTACTTCGCAGAAATTTTGTCAACCAATTACTACAAACGTAGAATTTGACTCTTTTTATAACTATTACTTAGAGATTATCAAATATAAAGATATTATTGAAAACCCTTCCTCAGAATCAGCGGATCTAATAACTCAATTAAAATCTCAGTTACCGGAAAACCAGTGTGAAATAGAGAATTATTTACAGACTCTCCAATGAAACCTTCGTGCGACGATAAAGATTTTTTCACCCTAACAGCCAGTGAGCAAGCTCAAATTCTTGAAATATTATTGGAATTCATAGATCAATATATCGCAGGTGATATTGATATCGATCAACTAATGGAATTAATAGAGAATTTTGAAATTCCATTCTAATAGATACTTATTACACACGCATATATGTCAAATAATCTCATCTTATTTAATCAATTTATCCTAGCATAAAGTTTCGCGGCTTCTTCATTTTTCCGTTATCGACAAGTCAGATCCTCGCTCTCGGCATCCCCAAGATATAGCCGGTGTAAGCAGAGAGAAACCTGAGAGCGGCCACCTCGCTTTAACGAGCATATTGTCCTAATGCGTCCCCTGACAAAGTGAACGTCAACTACATCCATTACAGTCGATAATAATACATGGTTCGTGTCTGAGCTATGGTTCATGTCCAAGCTATGGTTCATATCCGAACTATTCACATGAGATGGACATGAGAGTTAGACAAGAACCAATAATCTATCGTTCTGCTTTTGTCTCACCAATGATGGCAGATCACGCGACGATAGACATGAGACGAGCGGTGATTTTCTATCGCAAAGCTCAAATCTCCTTCCATCCCTTGTCAGCCCCGTCTCATCTTTCACGCGCTATATTTTATATAATTCGAATAGGATTTCGAGACGACTTCGAGCGCCCAATACATAGAAAAAAATTTATTTATTTATTATAAAGACATTTATTAAAAATGTTTTTTAATAAAACCTTTTCTTTTTATTTAAAATAATTATATCTGTGGGGCCCACATGGTTTCAGTGTGTCTCTGCAATTAATTTTAACAAAGTTTTTCCGTTTTCGTTTTGTTTTTATTAATGCGTGCTTTTGACCATAATTTTTTAACTTGTAATTTTGTTTAGCTTTCATTTTTATTTATTGACGATTATTTTATTGCGCCGTTATCAGACAACCATATTTAATGCGTTTTATTTGGTCATATTTTTAACTCTTTTTCCGTTTATTTCACTCGCTGTTCATGTATTATTATATTTTTGCGCTGAAGAGGATCGAAAAATCGATCGAAACGTTCGCCTTTAACGTACCTATATTTTGATCTTTTCTGTATTATTGTAATGTCACCGTCGACATAAACTTATTTTGATGTACATCATGACATAATTAAACTTTTGTAATATACTTATTTTCTCGCTCTACAAGCCCTTTATAACTAATTGTAATTATATCTGTATTTTATAAATGCTTGCAACTCTTATATTATTAATGTTTTATTTTATATATTTTTTAAATAATTAATTTGAAAAATATACATATCGATTATGCGAATGATATCTTACTTTGATGCATTTACGTATTAGTGTTAGACATGAAAAACATAATGTAATACAACATCTAATATATCGAATGCTGTGAACAGTTTTCTTGTAAAAAAATAAAGTTTCAATAAGATTACTCACACATATACGGCACAATACAGCATCCAATGCGCTAGATATTGTATTACATTATGTTTTTCATGTTTTTATGATAAATATCATCCTGGCTCATGTAAAAGAATTACGTTTCATTGTCGTGATTTCGCGGCTATTTGACAAGCGCGGCTATGAAACAAGTAATGCGCGACAACACAATGGAAATAATCAGTCAGCGTAGCGAGCTTTACAAGTGACGTTCGATTCTGCGGTGCTTCATTATCTGTGCATACCAGATCTCTTCTATTGTTATAAATTTATATTTTTTTAACGATCTATGAGATCTGTGTATTTTGCAACACGTGTTATCGTTTCTTTTATAGAATACGACACATTATTTGTAAATATTTCTTCGTGTACACGTACGTGCGTGTATGCTTTTATTGTGTCAGTTGTGTAATTTTTTATTTTTTATTTTTATTTTTTATTTTATCACGTGTTGTATTTCTCTTTTATTTTTACTTTTAAGTTTTTTTAATTTTATTTTTATATTTTTTTGTTTTGCATTTTAATAAACAATCATTATGTCGAGTCAGTGCCCTGTAGATAGTTATTATGATAAGTGCGTGTACAAAGAGTGTAAGAATGAGAGATTTTTGCATGGGAAACGGCTATTCCGATTTCCAATGCAGAAGGATACAAGATGCAATACATGGATACGCAATACAGGTATGTTTTTGTGCAATAATTGTCATTATTTTATTAATTTTTTGTCTTTTCTGTTCCCAAATTCAATACATATTATTTGTTATTTTATTATTTCATAAAATAAAAAAAAACGACAGTGAGATTCAAACTCGAGTCAGCGCCGTGACTAGCAGACATCTTACGTGCACTGCTATGCGCTATTACGAAGTAGCGCTTTATCGAATTGATTATAACTGACACGCCTGACATAGAAAATTTTTTTTACCAAACACTCGGTATATCAATTGCTATGTCAGCTTGAAGTAAGCATGTAATCATAATTTTCATAATGAGTTATATTTTTATTACAGGAAATACAAAGTTGGAAAAATTGTCTGCCAATACCCTTAGAAAATTAGGAATATGTGAAGATCATTTCGTTATGACATCATTTACAAACGCAACAAAAATACGATTAAGAAAGGATGCTATACCAATTGCGTATGAAAACGCTGGCTCAAATTCTGCAAACGAAAATGTTGAAGTAGGTGAAATGCAAGGAGATATTACAGAAACACTTTCACCTAACGATGAAAATCTAATAATGGAGGAACAAATATCTGAAGAGTGTACTCTACAGACATACAGGCCTGCAGCTTTAAATTTCGAAATATCTGAAAAAGAAAACGTAATGAAATGGATGCATTTGGAACCACTCATACATTAAGATATTGAATGTAAAAGCAATGAAAGAAATGTTGAATGCAAAGATGATAGCATTGCAAGAAATAATAAAGAAAAAAGTGATCTAAAAGCAAAAAACAAAGCATTGAAAATTGAGAATTTGAATTTGCGGCAAAAAATTAAGCGCTTAGAATTTCGAATTCAAAGGATGGCACAAACATGTAAGTGTAAAAATTCAAATAAAAAGAAAGAAAAGAAAAAAGAGCTAAAAAATTTAATAAATGCACAAGAACTGCATCCTATAGCAAAGACCATGATACATTTACAACTGCATACACCACGTACACGATATACTGAGGAAGAGAAAATACTTTCAAAACAATTATATTATTATTCAGCGTCAGCATTTTGAAGAAAGCAGGTTGCAATTTCCCTGGACAAAGAACAATTAGAAGATGGGTAGAAGAATATAATATAAAACCAGGATTTTGTGATATTATATTTCAAAAATTGAAAGAAAAAATTGCACAAATTCCTGAAGAAGAAAGAGTGTGTGCCTTGAAATGGGACGAGATGTCTATTAAAAGCTATGAATATTCCTCAAAATTAGACGAAATAGAAAGTCTTGTTGATCTAGGACCTTTGGGCAGAAAGAAACAGAAAGAACGAAGTGCGTTTTGTCTTTTGCCTTGATAGCTTAAATGCACGTCATCCATGGCGACAACCATTGGCATATTTTCTTCCAGGTAAATGTATGAAATCACATGAAATAATTCACTTAGTTGAGATGTGTCTAGATAAATTGAATGACACAGGTGCGAATGTGAAACTTTTGACATGTGATCAAGGTACAAATAATCAAGTCACTTATAATCAACTAGGCGTTGATGTAGAAAATCCATATTTTATATATAATAATAAAAAATATTATACTTCATACGATTTTCCGCATCTAGTAAAAAGATTAGCGAGTTTTCTTAGAACACATGACAATATATATTGCAAAGGAGAAATAATATTCTGATTTTGTGAAAACTAGAGTATTGATAATGCGACAAAAGGAGGCTCTAATTTATTGTCCCATATTTCAAGGGCACATATTCATCCAAATTGTTTTGAAGCAATGAATGTAAAAAGAGCGTTTCAATTATTTAGCCATACATTCGCATGTGCAATTAAAATAGCCGGTGACTCAAAAGAATTAAATTCAAATACATGGGAAGCGACAGCTGATTTTGCAGAGCATATGAACAGCGTAATTGATGCTTGCAACTCCTACAGTTTTAATGTCACATTCGGCGGAAAACGATCATTATCAAGGAAAAATCCAGATATTGAAGATCTGTTATCAAACTTTGTGCAGTGGTGTTCAGGATGGTTAAAATTTTCGGACAGAATATATCAAGTTCAATCCTTGTTTCAAAGGTTTTATCATTACGACACAAGCAATTCTTGCTTTGTATAAAGAACTTGCAAGTAAAAATGAAGAATTTGAACTTGCAACAGGTTTATGCAACCAGGATTCAGTGGAACATTTATTTTCAAAACTTCAGCAACGAGGAGGATTTAATCTAAATCCAACTGCAAGAATGATCCGACTATCAATTAGACATATATTATCCACTGGATACATTCAGACAAGCGATAAAGGCAATGTGCAATGATCTGAAAGTGAAGCTCTCATTAATAAACCGAATCAAATTATTAAGACAGTTGAAAATTGTATGAGTGCAAATAATGTTGTTGCTGTTGATGATGTTGAAAACGATGTTGATGATGCCGATTTAGTAACAGAATTACTTGACAAACATTCAGACATTCTTGAGGAATATGATGTGGACATAAATAATGTAAGTATACTTAATAATTATGATGATAATGCAATAACATATTTTGCAGGGTATGTCGCACGACGATGTATTGAGAAAAATAATTGTGAGAATTGTTGTACAACAATGTTAAAAACGCCAATGGAGGACGCAACGCCAAATGAAAGATACATTGAATACCGTGAATATCCCAACGTAGACGAGAATGCTCCAACAATTACAAAATTAACTCGACCAACAAGCCTCTTTATAAATATAATTAAAACACAGTTGATGAGCTTCAATCGTACATGGTAACATCATTGGGCATCCACACAGATTCTTGAGAAGATTACGAATGAAGGTATGTATGCAACGAATAAAATGCATGCCGGATGGTTTGATATAAATGATAAGTGTTACAATCACCGCATGCAAGCGTTAAAATTTTTAATGACAGTTAAAATATATTCCCGTACGCGATACAATAATCACGCTGCGAAGGCAGTGAATACATTTAAAAGAAAAATAAAAAACTTGTCAAATAAGTAAAGTTTTATAAAAAGATTACAATATTATAAAATAAAGAAAATAAGTAACATAGAACGTACTTTAAATTTTTATTGTAACTTACATAAAAGTACGAAAATATTTCCTTCATTTTTTTATATTATTAGTATCTTAAAAATCATTAAATATATTTTAAAGATTGTTGTACTAATTAATTTAAAACTGATTTTTAATTTACTGACATTTTCTGTTCAATAACGGGAAAAAGAAATATGCAATTCCCAATGTCATGGAAAATCGCAATCACAGTTAAAATTATTGCATAAATATCTGAGACTAGCAAATCTATCACGAAAAGACAAAAAAATAAAACAAAAAGTTATAATGCGAGCATGCCATGAAATTGGGAAATCATATTTAAATGTTAAATACTATTAATGATATCCTAAGATACGAATAATATAAATATTTTAAAGAAATGCATTTATGTTTATCTCATTACTCGTTGGCACACGGTATTCATATATAAATATTTATATATAATTAAAGGGAAAGATGTAAATGAATATCGTGCAGATATAACAAATATATAACAAATCACATAAAAATATAAAACAGTGATTTTGAATAAATCACAATCAAAAGAGATGTTTATAAAAATACAATTAGTATAAATATATAATTACAGAAAAAAAGACGTAACATACACACTTATACACTTCAAGGAAATCTACATATAGATTTCCCCGTGATAAGATTTGCTAGTCTTTCATTTATGCAATTTTTTTAACTGTGAATGCAATCTTTACGTCATGCTTAATAATGTCAACGAGAAATAAATTTTTTTTTCTAAACTTCGAATTTAAATACACGTTCTATGTTACATACAATAAGAAATATGGATAAAATTATTAAATAATCATGGAGACTAAAATTAGTACACAGAAGAGATAGCTTACTATAAGGGATTATCTTAAACTTAGAGTGATATTGCAAAAAAAGTCACTTACATGTGTTATGTACAGATATGTTTAATTACAATTAAACATTAAAATTTTTATGTATAAAAATCTAAATAAAAAACATTATACATGTTATTTGAAATGAAGCTACTACCTGGTTTCGCGAATAACATATGTATACTTCTATTTATTAGTCAATTTGTTTTTCATTCTGGTATAATTATATTAATATATAATTACTTATTGGCGAAGCCAGATATTAGTATTATTTATTTACAACCTAATCTGTCCTTATTCCAAATATTTGTTCTATATTTTCCTTATTTCCATAATATTTTATCTTAATCGACACATATATTAAATTACTACAAATCTTTTCTCAGTTTAAACATCATATATAGCACATTAATATTTTTTTAACATGGATGTATCATATATATATAACTGTCTTTGTATCTCAATGAGATAATTATAATATATTAAAATATTTGTGAAACATTAGTTTTCGTTAAACAATATAATTTATGTTCGAAAAGTAATAGAAAAATTTAAAAAAAATTTATTAAATAAAGAAAAAGAAAAAATTAACACACTCTTCATATAATAACGTAGACTGTTGTTAAAAAAGCGAGATACTACATGCTTCTTACATTTAATATATATGTAATACATTTATAACTGTACACACAAATATGAATTGGAAGACTGTCTCACTCGTTGCAAGACTCATGCAAGATGTAAGTAGAATTGTTTTTTTTATATACTAAAATCTTGTATACTTAAAATGTACTAGATTTATTGTCAGATAAATCTTACAATTAGATAAAGTCAAATAAAAGTTTTTTATTATATAAATTCCTTTAAGAAAATGTTGTATTAAATTGTACAAAAATTGGAACATTTTTGATAACAACAAATATATAATTTATTATATATTTTAGGTTATACATTAATTATACAAATAATTTACAATTTGTATTTTATGCAATATTAAGACTAAAGAATAAAATGTGATTATCATTGTCTATAACTTTACAATATAGCGATTTGATAGAACGCGCGTACATGTGCGCGTTCTATCAAATCGCTATATTGTAAAGAAATCATTTGACTATCTTTGGGTACGTTCCATTTGAACGCTCACGCGCTATAAGCGCTCACGCTTATAAGCGCTATTTTCAACCGTTCCATTTGCTGCTTAAGCGCTTAAAATTGCAAACAAAAGGTCGTTCCGTTTGGATGCGTGAGCAGTGTGAGCAGTACGAATGTTTAAAAATGGACGAAAAAGAAATTGTCATTTTATGCTCATTAATTGCAAAATTTTTGAAATATTGTTTGAAGATGAAGATTCTCCAAGCAATACAGAATTATTAGAAAATATTTTTATAATTCTTAATAAACATCGCATTAAAAATCCTATATTACGATTAAAGGATTACGTAGAAAATATTTTACCATCATATACTGATATACAGTTTAAATCACATTTCAAAAGAAAAGTCTACATAACTTCATTCCACTTTATTATATTAATACATAATATAAATTTTGAATAATATAAATATTAATGATAATCTTACCAGTTTCTAAACGTTTGGCTTCTTCTACTGTTACTAATATTGTATAAATTTTGTTGGTTTCCACCATCTTCAATATCAACTGATATCTTCGGTCCATTTTTCTTATTTACACAGAACACGTGCGTTCCGTTTCAATGCTTATGTGCTATAAGCGCTCACGCTTTTACTGCCCTACTTCGATGAGATAAGCTTTTGTGAGCACGAGTTATGACATCACAGTGACATCATAAATGCTTTTATAAGCGCTTATAACTTCAAAGGGAACAGCGTAAGCAATCTTTATAAGCGCTTTAAGCGTGTAAGCGTCCAAAAGGAACGCAGCCTTTGTGTTTTGCTTGCCATCAACATTTATGCGATCGGCGTTTTCGGCTATGCACACAAGGAAAGAACCGTGTACGTGTGCGCTCGATTAACTTCGGACAATAGAAGGGCGCAAACAATAATTCGCTGACTCTTTCTTTGTCTGCGCTCTTCTATTGCCCAAAGTTGACCGAGCGCACACGTATACGGCTCTTTCCTTGTGTGCGTAGCGGATAGCATCTCGAATCTGATACCACTATGGGCGATCGGATTCACGATTCGTTGCCTGGAAGTACAGGACGAAGGACAAGGAAGGACGGCGAGTTTAGTGAATATCATATATATAATTACTCATTATATATGTCATTTTAAATACATAAATGCTTATGCACTTTGTTAATATTGAATTGTTACAGCATACAATGATGGCGACGATGATGACCGCGGCGGCCACGGTGTCCACGGTGGCGATGGCCACGGCAACAGGCCCGATGACCACGGCGACCACGGTGGCGACGGCGACGGCGACAGCCCCGACATCGGCCCCGATGGCCACGACATCGGCCCCGACGGCCACGGCATCGGCCCCGACGACGGCGACGGCGACGGCGACAGCCCCGACGGCCACGGCATCGGCCCCGACGGCCACGGAGCCAATTGTATTAACCGTAAGTAAAGATTAATACATTTTATATTATAAATATTAATATTTTGACGGCCGCACATATATCACATGTGTAACAGCAGTCAACAGTGTTAATAAAAGAAATCGTGAATGTTTTGCTTTGTCTCGCTTTCATGTATATTTACGAAAGTATATTGTTTTTAGATATATATACATATATACATATATATATACATATATATATATATGTATATATATAATATTTGACGCCTTACACGAGGCTGCTTCAGAGTTCGCTTTTCGAGGGTAATGTTATATTTATTAAATATATAATATTTATTTTTTATTGCAGCAAGAACAATTACAATCGGTAATACAAGCAGCTGTTGCTACTGCGCATAGAGGATGGAGAGGAAGAGGAGGATGGAGAGGTAGAAGAGGAAGAGGAAGAGGAAGAGGAAGAGGAAGAGGAAGAGGAAGAGGTAGAGGCCAGGGTAGAGGTGGAGGCGGAGAAAAAGGGATACAAATTTATTATTATTAATTATTATACTATTATTAATATAATATTATTAATTTAATATTATTAACGTAAAAGTTAAAATATTAATAAACAAATAAAAAATAACTAAAAAATATTTTTATAAATGTATTTATTTAATGTTAACTGTGCCCGAATTTTTTTATTCATTTTCTGTCCTCAATTAATAACGAAGAACGTAAAAGCACGACGAGAGGAAAGGGAAATCAAAAGAGATAAAATCGTAAGATCGTCGCGTGGCAGTCGCGTGGTGTGTCATTGATGAGACAAAGATAGAATAATGGATTATCGGCCCTTATCTGACTCTCCATCTCTGAATAGTTCGGACATGAACTATATCGTAGACACAAACCATGTTTTGTTACCGAGCGTAATGGACATAGTTCACGTCCACTTTGTCAGACGGCGCGTCAAGCATCGAGAAATGTGCCCGTCGAGGCTGGTGGCCGCTCTCAGGTTTCTCTCTGACGTGACATTGCCATGAATTTTGGAACGCAGTTTGTAGCGCTGGCAGCACTGGCAGTGAATTTTGGAACACAGCCTATATGCAAAGAGAAACCTGAGAGTGGCCACCAGCCTCGACGGGCACATTTCTCGATACTTGACGCGCCGTCTGACAAAGTGGACGTGAACTATGTCCATTACGCTCGGTAACGAAACATGGTTTGTGTCTATGATATGGGTTCATGTCCGAACTATTCAGAGATGGACAGTCGGATAAGAACCGATAATTCATCGTTCTGTCTTTGTCTCATCAATGACAGACCACGCGACTGCCACGCGACGAGCTTACGATTTTGCTTTCCCCCTTCTCTCGTCGCGCTTTTACGTTCTTCGTTATGATGTAATAATGAAATGATCTTCACATAATCCTAATTTTCTAAGGGTATTGGCAAATAAGTTTTCCAACTTTGTATGCTCTGTAACAAAAATACAACACATTATGAAAATTACGATTACATGCATACTTCAAGCTGACATAGCAATTGGTGTACCGAATGTTTGGTAAAAAAAAATTTTTTGTCAGGCGTGTTGGTTATAATCAATTCGATAAAGTGTTACTTCATAATAGCGCGTAGCAGTGCAAGTAAGATGACTGCTTGTCACGGCGCTGACCCGAGTTCGAATCTCCCTGCTGTCGTTTTTTTTTATTTTTATTTTATGAAATAATAAAATAACAAATAATATGTATTGAATTTGGGAGTAGAAAAGGCAAAAAAATTAATAAAATAATGACAATTATTGCACAAAAACATACCTGTATTGCGTATCCATGTATTGCATCTTGTATCCTTCTGCATTGGAAATCGGAATAGCCGTTTCCCATGCGAAAATCTCCCATTCTTACATTCTTTGTATACGCACTTATCATAATAACTATCTACAGGGCACTGACTCGACATAGTGATTGTTTATTATAATGCAAAACAAAAAAATATAAAAATAAAATTTAAAAAACTTAAAAGTAGAAATAAAAGAGAAATACAACACGTGATAAAAAAATAAAAAAATTACACACCAACACGATAAAAGCATACACGCACGTACACGCAGAAATATTTACAGATAATGTGTCGTGTTCTATAAAAGAAACGATAACACATGTTGCAAAATACACAGATCTTACAGATCGTTAAAAAAAATATAAATTTAAAACAATATAAGAGATCTGTTATGCACAGATAATGAAGCACCGCAAAATCGAATTGGATGCTGTATTGTGCCGTATATGTGTGAGCAATCTTATTGAAACTTTATTTTTTTACAAGAAAATTATTCACAGCATTCGATACACTAGATGTTGTATTACATTATGTTTTTCATGTCTAACACTAACACGCAAATGCATCAAAGTAAGATATCATTCGCATTGATATGTATATTTTTTTAATTAATTAATTATTTAAAAAATATATAAAATAAAATATTACTATAATAATATAAGAGTTGTAAGCATTTATGAAATACAGATATAATTATTTTAAATAGAAAGAAAAGGTTTTATTAAAAAACATTTTTAATAAATGTCTTTATAATAAATAAATAAATTTGTCTCTATGTATTGGGTGCCCGAAGTCGTCTCGAAATCCTATCCGAATTATATAAAATGTAGCGCGTGAAAGATGAGACGGGGCCGACAAGGGTTGGAAGGAGACATGAGCTTTACGATAGAAAATCACCGCTCGCCTCATTCCTACCGCCGCGTGATTTGCCATCATTGGTGAGACAAAAGCAGAACGATAGATTATCGGCTCTTGTCTAACTCTCATGTCCATCTCATGTGAATAGTTCGGATATGAACCATAGCTCGGACATGAACCATAGCTCAGATACGAACCATGTATTATTATCGACTGTAATGGAGACTGTAGTTGACGTCCACTTTATCAGGCGGCGCATTAGGACAATGTGCCCGTTAAAGCGAGGTGGCCGCTCTCATGGTGCGGTCCCATGATACGGAACGTATGCGCAATGCGGAATTGGCGGAACGCTCGTGATTGGTTTAACCTGTTTTACGTCTGTTCCGCCGATTTCTATCCGCAAGTTTCTATTTTATACACATTTTGTGCGGAACTTCGAAATTGTGTGTATGATGAAAAATGTCGAAACAGCAGATATCCGTAAGAATATTATTAAAAAATATTTTAAATAAGAGTGTAACAAGGAATGGTCCAACTAATGCTAATAATGCGTCAAATAATTGAGGTGCCATTCTAAAATAATCCATATATTTTTCTGTGTCTTCGATCAGCATTTCCTTTACAAGATTCTCACTTGCTCCTTGTTGGAATCTTCTTTCTAAGCTGAATATAGGTCGCATCCAATATTTTCGTCGTTTTTTAATATTTTCATTTCTTTTTATAATTATATACAATGAATATAATTTTATAATCTTACGGCGTAATTCATTCTTTTTAAATATACACCAACTTTGTTTTAATTTACTTAACAATCCACAAATAATAATAAACAATTTTTCAGAATCCATATTCAATATTAAGTTGTTGTCAGTTTTGAAAGTTATATATGAAATTCATGAATTTTTTGACATATATGTGTGAATCCGATCCGCATAAATTTGTATTTCCTATGTCCCATGCAGCGGAAAATACGGAAGCGTAATTTGCGCGAGCCAATAATGTACGCTGTTCCGATATAGACAACAAAAAAATCTATGGGAAAGAATCTTGTGATTGGCCAACACCAATTGCGCTTCCGCGTTTTCCGCTCCATGGGACATAAGAAAATATATTTCAACGGAACACAATTGACGGAATGTCTGTGATTGGACGAACTTTGTTCCGCCAATTCCGCATTGCGCATACGTTCCGTATCATGGGACCGCACCATCAGGTTTCTCTCTGCTATATGTCTATGGCCGCGGACATTGGCCGCCTCTATTACCTTTATTACAATAAAATGTCGAAAATAATAGTATCGGAGTAAAAAAATTTTTTAACAAATAATGGCGAATTTTACCGAAGATTTATTTGACGTTTTTGATGAGCATGGCGATGATGTGGAAATACCGGACATTTCGAAGTAAGTGAACGGTTAATCTTTATTGTTAAAAGCAACCTCATGGCTGCAAATTATTTATTCTAACCAAATTTGTAGGAAAATCGAATCGGATGCGGGAATAAAGCGACAGCTTGACACTGAAGATGATAAGTCGTTTGTTAAGAAATTACGACATGATCCTATTCTGGATGACATTAAGTATGGCTCTTGATTTTATATTCTTGAATTCATTATTTTAATAAATGAAATCATTATTTTGAACTTTTTAATACAAATTAATCCAGAGGATAAAGTTTATATAAATGTTAAGAGTATTCAACTATATAAAGTTATGCATTAAAAAACTGCATAGACAGACATAAGCATAGATAAACTTACATAAAAGAAATTAATTTATATATATGTATAATGATATACAGCATGTGCCACCTAGAAGTGGCCACCCCCTTTTATCTTTTAAACTAAAAGAGATAGACCATAACAAATATATGTGAAATTAAATGGCTTGAACTGAACTTTATTGTGAATGTAGTGATTAATTACAAAATTTATCTGTATTGAAGAACGCAGAGATATGCATAATTTTTTTATAATGTAGATATTTTCATATAATAAAAGTTGTAGCACTATTTGAAATGAATATAACGATGTATGATTTAATGTAAATATTTTATTAAATATATTATATGAGATTTTCCAGCTTGAAATATCGCGGGCGACATCCATCATTTCATTTTCGGCCCTGTGATATAGCCAACTTCTGACTCGTGCATTAGAGATTGACGTATGTCATGTTGTCATTTAATCATGATACTCAGTCAGAAGTTGGCTATATCGCAGGGCCGAAAATGAAATGGTGGACGCCCGTGATATTTCAAACCGGAAAATCTCATATAATATGTAAAATATTTACATTAAATCATACATCGTTATATTCCTTTCAAACAACGCTATAACTTTTATCATATCAAAATATCTACATTATTATAAAAAAATTATACATATCTCTGCGTTCTTCAATACAGATAAATTTTGTAATTAATCACTATACTCAATAAAGTTCAATTCAAGCCATTTAATTTCACATATATTTGTTATGGTCTATCTCTTTTAGTTTAAAAGATAAAAGGGGGTGGCCACTTCTAGGTGGGACACGCTGTATATATATATATATATATATATAAAATTATATATACAATTTATATTTTTGATATTGCATATATTATTTTTAAAAATTAAAGTAAATATAATACAGATACATATATATAATTTTATAATTTTGTTTAATTATATTTATTTAATAATATGATATAAAATTACAGAGGTGAAATTATAATATACAATTATGTTAAACTAAATCAAAAGGAAATGGGGATTATGTTAAACATTATTATTATTATTAAACATTATTATTATTAAACATTATTTTTTAGTCTAGAGGATATGATATGTCGAATAAAAGTACATAATATAGAGACTATGGAATCTTGTATGCACGAGGTTGCTATTCCACCTGAGCAAGAATATGTACCCTTAGAACATAAACAGGGTAAACCAGCCAAAGAATATAAATTTATACTCGATCCATTCCAAAAAGAAGCAATTTTATGCATTGAGAATAATCAGTCAGTTCTTGTTTCCGCTCATACTTCAGCTGGTAAAACTGTTGTAGCCGAGTAAGTATCTCATATTTTATTTTCAAAGAATGTCAGCAATTTTTTCCAATGGCTTTCTCATTTCATCATCTAATGATCATTCAGGTATGCAATAGCATGTTCACTTAAGGATAAGCAGAGGGTGATATACACAACTCCAATTAAAGCATTAAGTAATCAGAAGTATAGAGAATTTCATGAGGAATTTAAAGATGTTGGTCTGGTAACAGGTGATGTTACTATAAATCCAACAGCTAGTGTATTAATTATGACTACCGAAATTTTACGTAATATGCTGTACAGAGGCTCAGAGGTTTGTTTTATTTTTAAAACTATAAAAATGCAAAGTGTTCTATCGCATCACAAAATTAGGCAGCAAAATTAGATTAACTTTTATTCTAATAATTTAATTTTTTACCATGAAATTGATACAAAGCTTACACAGTACATTTACTAATATAAGATTCAAAGTATCTCTTTTGTCAATTTAATTTCTTAATTTCAAGAAAGAGTTTAGAGTATTGAACAGATTATTTGAAGTTAGTAGAATAAGTGTAAGAAATAATCCAATAGTCATTTATTTGCTTATTTGAAGAAAATCAAATTTTTATATAAATTAAATTTCGAATTTTATAAATTAAATATATATAATTTATTTATTTTTTGTATAATTAATTTATTTTTTATTTAATTATCAATTCTATATATAATTAATGCTCTATATTAATCCCAATTTTATGCAGAGTATGAATTAACTATTAATGTAATAATGATTATATAACTTGTGTTACACTATAGGAAATTATAATTTTGTAATATTCCATTTTATTGCTTTTATGTAATTAATATATATGAAAGTATAGTAATGTAAAAGTATAGTAATGTAAAAGTAATATAAAAAGTAATATTAGTATAGATAAATATTAGTTTATATATATATATATATACATATATATATATATATATATTATAATATTATAATATTAGTATATATAAATATTATTTTATATAATTATAGTATAACAATGTTTTTTCTTTTTTAAATATTACATAAGAAAAATATATTAAATGCATACACACATTATATATATATATATATATATATATATATATATATTTAATATATTTTTCTATATATTTTTCTATATATTTTCCTATATATTTTTGTATAGGTAATGCGTGAAGTTGGTTGGGTAATCTTTGATGAAATTCATTACATGCGCGATAAAGAAAGAGGCGTGGTGTGGGAGGAGACGCTTATATTGTTGCCGGATAATGTACATTATGTATTTCTTTCTGCTACCATACCGAATGCACGACAATTTGCAGAGTGGGTGGCACATTTGCATAATCAGCCTTGCCATGTGGTCTCTACGGATTACAGACCTACTCCTTTACAACATTACATATTTCCAGTTGGTGGTGATGGAATTCATCTGGTCAGTGATAATTTTTGAAAATGTACCTATTTAAAAGTTTGATAAAAACCAGAAACACATCCATCTATTACATTTATTTATTATAAAACAGGTTGTAGATGAAACTGGTCAATTTAAAGAAGAAAATTTTAACAGAGCTATGGCCTGTCTGCAGAATATAGGTGATGCGGCTAAAGGTGACACAAAAGGACGTAAAGGTGGCTTGCGCGCTACTAATAGTGGACAAACAAATATCTTCAAAATGGTAAAAATGATCATGGAGAGAAATTTTGCCCCCGTGATAATCTTTAGTTTTTCAAAGAAAGACTGTGAAGTTTATGCAATGCAAATGGCCAAACTAGATTTGAACACATTAGAAGAAAAAAAATTAGTGGATGAGGTTTTCAATAATGCGATAGATGTCCTTAATGATGAGGACAAAAAGTTACCGCAAGTTACGAACTTGCTGCCACTTTTACGGCGTGGAATAGGTATTCATCATGGTGGACTCTTGCCAATTTTGAAGGAGACAGTCGAGATATTATTCGGCGAAGGTTTGATCAAAGCGCTTTTTGCCACTGAAACATTCGCAATGGGTTTAAACATGCCTGCACGAACAGTTTTGTTTACGGCACCCCGTAAATTCGATGGTAAGGACTTCCGTTGGATCACATCAGGTGAATATATTCAAATGTCCGGCCGTGCGGGCAGGCGAGGTCTAGACGACAAAGGAATTGTAATATTAATGATAGACGAACAAGTTAGTCCAGTTATCGGTAAAGCTATTGTTCAAGGAAAACCAGATCCAATAAATTCTGCATTTCATCTGACCTATAACATGGTGCTTAATCTTCTTCGAGTGGAAGAGATTAATCCAGAATACATGTTAGAAAGAAGCTTCTTCCAATTTCAAAATCAAGCTGGTATTCCAGCTTTGTATAATAGTAAGTCGTTATTCGCTAACATTGTAATAGTTTAAAAGCCGTGAAAATTAATTGCCTTTGTTATACTTTTTTACAGAAGTAAAGGAATTATACACTACCTACAATACCGTGAATGTTGAGAGATATGATGAGATTTCTTCTTATCATAATATACGCGAACAACTCGATCGTTTGAGCGGAGAGTTTCGATCATTTTTAACGCAACCAGAATATTTGGTTCCATTTTTACAACCCGGAAGACTAGTAAAAGTGTATATTTATTTATTACGTGTATTTCCGCCATTTTGAATAGAATTTTTAATTTTTTTTATGGATATTGTAGGTGAGAAATGAATTTGAAACATTCGATTGGGGTATTATAGTAAACTTTAAAAAGAAAAATCAGAAAAATCCAGTAAAAGATAAGACTATTATTATCATTGATATTTTACTTCACATATCGAAAGATTCCAAAGAAGGCAATCCAATTCCATGTCGCGAAGGAGAAGAAGGTGAAATGGAAGTAGTTCCTGTTTCACATAATTTAATTTCTCAAATCAGTTCACTCAGATTATATTATCCAAAAGACCTCAGACCATCTGATAATAGAAAGAGTGTATTGAAAACAATACGAGAAGTAAAGAAAAGATTCCCAGATGGTCCACCATTACTCAATCCTATTACAGATATGCACATAGAGGATCAAAGTTTTAAAGATATTGTTAAAAAAATTGAAGCATTAGAAAAAAGATTATATGCACATTCTTTGCATAAAGTAAGTGATAAATACATATATAGAAAAATATACATACATACATACATATACATACATGCATACATACATACATATATATATATATATATATAAACATAATTAAATGTTTTTCCATTAAGTACTTTTCGATATGTAATTTTTAATTGCAAATTACATATTTGTTCTTCGAAACAACTATATTTTTTCTTTACACCAATTGATTCCTCTCATTATTTTGTACATAAAAGTATTAAGGTAAGATAATCGAAAAATGAATATTTTACTAGATATTATATATATATTTTATGTAAAATTAAGATATTATTTCAAGTCTTATAACTCGAAAAGTACTTAATGAAAAAACATTTAATTATAGTGTTTTGGAAAGCTCTCGTGATAAGCTACAAGAATATGTAATGAGAAAATATAGGTTTCATTTAAGAAATTGGAGGTGACCTTCAAATAACTCTTCAAGGTCAAACCAATGGTACCATCTTATGTCCCCCCCGAAACCATACAACTTTTGTCCGAAACATTTTTGTTTGATGGGCTTAGTTTTTGAGATATTTTACTGTCCAAGTTAAAATGGAACACCCTGTATATATATATATATATATATATATATATATATATATATATATATATATATACACACACACATATATATATAAGTATATATATAGAGAAAAGTGGTAAATTGAAATACAAAATATTGTACAGTATAATTTTAAATTTTTAACATCTCCTATACACTTTCCATAACAAAAAAAATTCCATAACATATCTGTATATATATTTTTACATAAAAAACTTTCAAAGCTTACGTTTTGCTTATTATGCAACATATTTTAATTGTTTAATATTATGTAATATTCTTTTCATTTATAATCAATTTGATTTTGTAATATTTATAGGATCAGAATGTAAATGTATTATATGAACAATTTTTACACAAGGAGGAATTGGCTGTACAGCTTAAACAATCCAAGGAAGAATTTAAGCAGGCTAAGTCTATACTTCAGATGAATGAACTTAAATGTAGAAAGCGTGTTTTAAGAAGGATGGCATATTGCACATCGGCGGATATTATAGAATTGAAAGGACGTGTAGCTTGCGAATTGAACGGTGCCGACGAGCTATTAATGACAGAGATGATCTTCAATGGTCTTTTCAATGCTTTAAGTGTACCGCAAATGGTGGCATTGATAAGTTGTTTTGTATGTGATGAAAAGTCGAACGAAATGCCTAAAAGCACAGAGGAATTAAGCGGTCCACTCAGACAGATGCAAGATTTGGCTCGTAGAATAGCAAAGGTTTCAACAGAGGCCAACTTGGAATTAGACGAGGATGCATATGTCGATAGATTTAAACCATATTTAATGGACGTTATATATGCTTGGTGCAAAGGCGCAACATTCTTACAAATTTGTAAAATGACAGATATATTTGAAGGTAACGTATCTTGTTGTGTTGAGGCAATAATAAACTCAAACCTCACTTTATCTTTCTGTATTGATACATATAAAATATATTTTAGGATCTATTATTAGATGCATGCGTCGTTTAGAAGAAGTGCTTCGACAACTATGTCAAGCTGCAAAAGGTATTGGAAATACAGATTTGGAAAATAAATTTAGTGAAGCAATCAAACTTATAAAACGTGATATTGTGTTTGCGGCGTCCTTATATTTATAATGTAACAAAAAAACTAGTGTCACAAAATAATAATTTGTGTTTTTCTTCTTCATTACACGCGCACGGAACACATACAACATTTTTGTTTGAAACATTTTTTTTTACTAACACACCGTTTTTGAGATATTTGAGCGTATTATTTAAAATGGGACACCCTGTGTGTATGTGTATACACACACACTTTGAATGGGGCCATCAGATGGTGGCAATGATTCGGACCTTGAAGAGTCATTTGAAGGTAACGTGAAGATCACCATCAATTTCTTATATAAATGGAACCCCCCTATTTTTTATTGCATACTCTTGTAAGTTTATCTCGAGGGCTTTCCAAAACACTATAATAAAATATCCCCTCAAGTACTTTTTGAGTTATAAGGCTTGAAATCATTTCTTAATTATACATAAACCGTAAAAATCTTGTAAAATATTCATTTTTCGATTATTTTACCTTATAATACTCCCAGATAGCAAAACATATGCATTCTGAACTCATATTGTATTCATATTTCTTACAAACATGATAACAAAAATAGACAGATGCAGGCTCATATGCTACTCAAAACGCGGATATGTTGTGATATTTTTAAAATTTTGCAAAAGGATGACATTATGCGTACATAAATGATACTCAAATTAATATTGTATATTATATGTTATATAAAGTTCAGAAAATAACAACATTGTATGTTTGTATTTATTGCAGTGCTATGAGCTCACGAAAATAATATAATATTTTTGGGACATATTAGCTATACAAGAAATATATAAATACTATTGACATATTAGTAGAATATGCGTTCTCAACAGTTTGGAAAATATAATCATATAAAATTAAATATATGAAATATTATTATTAATATTTTAATAAATATTATTAATGCACATTAATTATTGAAAATTTTTAATATTTATAAAAATATTATTTCATATTTAAAAATAATGTTTCTCTTTTTTGCTTAATTGTTTAGACTGAAAACATAAATGTCACGGAAATCATTTGCTTGAGCTCCATAACATACAATAATGAAAATGCTGAACGTACATAACTTATAATACATAATAGATAATTGTTGCAGTCAACATGTGATTATCATGAATTAATGAAATAACGTTAATATCTCTCATTTACTCACATTTTTTCATCATATGTATGTAACTTGTGCTCATAATACCATGAATTAATGAAATAACGTTAATATCTCTCATTAACTCACATTTTTTCATCATATGTATGTAACTTGTGCTCATAATACCTATCATCATAATATGTTTGCAAGACATACAACACATTTCAATCAATATCAGAAGATCATGACGTGATAAAATCTGATCATCAGGCATTGCTATCTGAGCTTTTATTTACAAAATAATGAGAGGAATCAATTGGTGTAAAAAAAACACAGTTATTTTTAAGAAAAACTATATAATTGTTAATTGCAAATTACATATTTTTTCTTCGAAACAACTATGTGTTTTCTTTACACCAATTGATTCCTTTCATTATTTTGTACATAAAATTATTAAGGTAAGATAACATTTTTGAAAAATGAATATTTTACAAAATATTTTATGGTTTATGTAAAATTAAGAAATGATTTTACCTTATAACTCAAAAAGTGCTTGAGGGAAAAATATTTTATTATAGTGTTGTGGAAAGCTCTCGAGGTAAGGTACAAGAATATGCAATGAAAAATAGGGGGTTTCATTTAAAAAATTCAAGTTGACCTTGCCCTGACTTTGGCGACGCCACTCAATGTCAAATGGATATTACAGTTAAATACATCTTTTTAATCCTTACAACTTTTGTCTAAAGTATTTTGTTCTAAAATGCATTCGAGCTATACGAGATATTCGACTGTATCCAGACTTTTGGTCCACCCTATATATAGGGTGTCCTAGAGGGTGTCCTTAAGGAATCAGACGTTAATAGCAGATTCCTGAGATCATTTGGATTCGAAAATTCTAATATCAAAATGTTGAGGAGGACTTCATAAAAATGTTCAAATTACTGACTACTGTCGCATCGAAGACGTAATCGTGCTCACTGCAAAATCCTATTTTTTATTTTATATTGATCCTTCTATCGATATTGATATTATCTGTATATGCGGGCCCCTTGATGCGTTATGTTTCTGAGCATAGGACAATGTAACGCACCATTTGGTAATATTTAATCTTTTGTAGTGCCGAAACTACATCCTTCCTCAATATTTTGGTATTAAGATTTTCATTTCCAAATGATCTCAGGAATCACCATTAATGGCTGATTCCGAGACACTCTGTGCGTGCGCGCGCGCACGCGCGCGTGTGTGTGTGTGTGTGTCCCTCGCCGCGCATCATCTGAACCATGCTATAGCTGGAACGGTTGAGCGCTTCTCTCATTCGTCCGATTTCAATAATTAATATTTTGATTATTATTACAAAAATCGTTACATGGAATAGGATTTCTTTATTTAATTTACTATGCTCTACCTCCTCACAAGTGCGTGAGCTCATGCTCAGAGACACTCTGTATATTTATATATACATATACATATATATATATATATATATATATATATATATATATATATATATATATAAAGATTCCAATGTATTATCTCCATTACTTAATTGCGAACATTTGTAATAAAAAAGCATAACTCTCATTTAAAATTGATCAGAATCCGATTTATTCTTGGGAATTTAAAGTATATAATATATGTATGTATGGAAAACTTTCTTTTTTTTTATGAAATAACATTACATTTGTTATATATGACTCCATTGTTCGGGAAAAGTTCAGCGTAAAAATGCAATACATATTTGCAAGATAAACAAGATTCTATAATTTGCTGTTTCTATCTCGAAATTGTTAAATAAATACATTTTTGTAGAATATTTGCGACACTTAATTTCTATATTTAAATTTAATTATAATGTATTATATATTTATCGTTCTTCTAAAATTACCGTCTCCTGTGGGCAGAATTTTAATTCCATCAAGGTAAGTTTTGAGTCCATCGATGTTAACTGAATCAAATACATAAATATGTTAATATATTATTACATTATAAATATTTTAAATAATATTTTATAAAAGAATTTTTATGAGAAATTTCAACTTATATACAAAGAATACAATCTAAAACAAATTACAAAGAAATATCTACATAATAAGAACTTAAATGCTTACATCATCTACTTACATCCCTTCGAGGCCAACTAGACAGAAGTTTATATTCCTCTGTAGGATAACCCTCCACAATAAGAAAATTAAAGAGTGTTTGTAATGGCGTGTCCGGTTGAAATTTACGTTCTAGAAATTTCCCAGCTGGAAGCCGTACTCTTACTTTCATTACACCATCGCCCGCTCCCTGTTGCGGTTCAGGTGGTAAACTGGATTCTACAGCTTGTCTGTGAGCTTCTTTCCTCGCTTCTTCTGCTAACCTTTCGTTTTCAGCCTGTTCTTTCTTCTTCTTCTCGAGTTCTTCTTGCATCTGTTTTGCTTCTTCTTTTGCTCTTGAAATATATTACAAATACAGTTATTATTCAATGTAAATTATCTTTATGTAGTATTATGCAAATATATGTACAAGGTATTTCACATAAACTGTTATATTTTCATCAAAACCTGATGTCTTAAACAAAATTTATAGCGCTTTAAGAAGGAAAAAAGTTAACAATCTTGAATTTCAATTAAAGTGAAAATGGACTTAGTTTTTTTGAGGACTCGATTTGTATAAACATATTGTTGTGGTTTTATTTAAAAATTATATTCACATGATTAACTTGAAAAATTGACCTAGTAGTATATATTATATAAGAATTGATTCGTTATCACAACGTCTTTACTATTATTTAGATAAAAATCTAGCTCTATAAAAGATCTGGTGATTTTGCCAAACAATTCTTCTTAGATTAACATAGCTGACCTACTCTTATATCGTAATGTATTAACAGCAATCACACCATTCATATTTGACATTGTAATAAAATTGTGATTAATTGTGATATTGTAATCAAATTGATATTTTAATAAAATGATCGTAATATTTTAATAAAATGATCGTAATATTTTAATAAAATGATCGTAATATTTTAATAAAAGTATTTCCAGATCTATGTTTATATAGCATTTTTTAAAATTTCTATTTAAAGAATATACTGACACGATTTAACTTTGAAATTGTACAATAAAACTTGAATTTTTTTTATTTACCTATCAGCTGCCAAACTTTCTTGATATGCCCTGTCTTGTTCTTGTTTAACTCTTTCTCTAGCCTGCCGTTCTTCTTCAACGCCAATATCAGCTCGTCTTTGTTCCTATATTTCAAGAAGAATAGTAATTGTATAAAATTTCTATTTATATATTCATGATGTTTTGGAATAAAGTAATATACTTCATATATATATATATATATATATATATATATATATATATATGTAGTAGTATATATATATATGAAGAGTATATATATATATATATATATATATATATATATATATATATATACTCTTAAGAGATAACAATATTGCTCAACAGTATATAAAATAACTGTACTTCGTACTTGAAATATGTCGACGGCTTGTACCAAATTCGTTAATAACTCGTTAACTCCCACATTGCCATGTACAATAGTAAATATCTCTGTATTAGATCTAGATCTCATAATAATCATTAAAACTGGCAAGGTATCAACATCTATGCTTGACACAGCTAACGAGCCAATAGTACCAAGGGTTTGAGTTACAGAATATAGAAATCTAAGAATTAAACGAGATTTAATGATTGCTCAATAAATTCACACAGCTACATTTTTTATATACATTATATTATCTATATAAATTATACCTTTCTTTATTAGATTCATATGTGATATCCCAACCCCATACTATGAAATTTGCTGAGAGAAGTTGAAGCACAGTTTCAAAGCCTAATAATTGAGTACAAAAAACGTTCGCTAGTACACTATTATCGTGATGCAAATATACTGCTAATAATTTTCTCTACAACATAAGAAATATTTTGCTTTCAGATATTATAATAAAAATATTATATTTTTGTAGCACAAAATCAAGACAAACCTCTTTTGCTGGTTTCAAACATGATTCCTTTAGAGCATCTTCGAATGTACCAGCAAAAAATTCCGGATGTGCTGGCCCATATCGTTTTTCGAATTGCTCCGCAAAATGTAATGTGCCCATCACCTCATCAACTACATTTTCTGGCACTTTTTATAAAAAAAAAATCTCATTTATTGTTTTACCAATATTAGATAAAACATCATATCACTTAAATAAAACAAAGTAGTTTTCATATATTTCAATATACACTCACTGAGACGCTCTACTTTAGTGGACTTAACATCATCTATGAAAATATCATCTTCGACAGTAAACGTTTCAGGAACATCTTCAAATTCTTCCACATCCTCTGGTTCATCTATGGAACTATCGCTGTCAATCAAATCTATAACCTTCTAAACACAGAGAGGAAGAGAAAGAGAAAGAGAGAGAGAGAGAGACAATTATAATTTTTTATATATAAATTTATTGTTATAAAAAGAGAGACTCTTTATTCTTAACAAGATATTACCTTTTTTTCTTCTTTTACAGGAAGTTTTCCAACGGATAAATCATGTTCTGGGTAACAAATTCCACTTTGTGCTAATATTACATTATCATCCTTCAATGAACTAGGCCAACCTTTCCATTGCTGATTTCGTACAGGTACGTCTATTAATGAGTAGATGTCTGTCTTCACTTCTAATATAGTACGTGTACCAGGAAATTTCAAATTGTATGTTTTATTATGTACTTCATCTTTTACATTCAAAGTATAAGTTTGAATCATACGATCTGACAGGTTTATCCTTAAATAAAAAAAAAAAATAAAAAATGTAGGTTTATTATTATAATAATTACAAAATTGCATTGAAGTAAAATTTTACTACTTACGTCTCATGAGACAAATCACCATCTTGTGATAACGATGACAGGTACAATGTATTTTCTCTAGGCAGATCTAATGTTTGCAATATTGTATTCGATGTTTGAGGTTCCTTTTTCCATCCACGAAGATGTTGTTGACAAGGTGCTATATTTGTTTTATACCATATAAATTGCTTAAGATCTTCTAAAAAATATAATTCAATAATTAGTAATTCTTTACTTGTGGTAATCTTTAAATGTCAATATATGATCTACATATGATCCATACTTACTCAAAGTAGATAATTCAGACAAATTTATTTTATAAACATTATCAAGATAGTTAATGTGGAATGTAAGTGTTCTATTTCTCATGCAACTTTTAGGTCTACTTGTTCCAGGTTTTGCGCTTTCTACTATATCTGCTTTTGTTCCTATCTTTTTTGAGTTTTGAGCAGTTTGTTGCTTTGACGAAGATGAATGTGGTGTTATTTTAATTTCCTCTACCATTTCTATATCTGAAGTCATTTCAGATGGTAACTGTTGCGTACCTTGGGGCATAGCTTTATTTATTGCAGCCTATGTGAAAAAAAATATATATCTTAATATATGAAACTAATGACTACAATTTCATGATTTTGTTACATTATCTACCAGAAGATCCCAGTTTGTTTCTTCCAGATATAGAATAGCTTCTCCGAAATCATCGATTCCAGTGCAAGCCTACAAATGTGATATAAAATTTATGACAATTTATTTTAACAATAGACAACTTTTATAAAAATAATATAGTAAGGAAATTGGCAAAAGTCAATTGGTAAAGTCATTTGGCAATGTTTGTAAATTTATAACTCAAAAGACAAAAGTAAAAAACAAAAGTCGATTGTAAAAAGCATTATATTTTTTTCAGATTCAAGTACTTGTGATTATTCCCCAAAAAAAATGACGGAAATAACGAGGAGAGAGAAGAAGAAGAGAGGGAAAAAAAGGAGGAGAGAGAGAAAAAGAGAGAGAAGAAGAGAAGGAGGCAGGAAAAGAGAGAGAGAGGAGAGAGAGAGAGAGAAAGAAAGAAACTTATTTCAAACAACCAATTATCACAATGTCATTGAAACGCAACCATAACCTAACAACGCATTTATGCGTTGTGTGCGGAAAATCAGCTGTGGTTTACCTGAAAGTCAGCTAGTATCGCATCTCGATTTTCAGCCATCGCCAATGAAATTAAGATGTGAAAATAATGCAGGACAATCTCGTGCGAGGGAATGAATGAGAGAAAGTTGCCTCCTTTGTTATGTTAAAACTATTGCAAATACGAATAATGGTGAGCCATTGACGTCTTAAAGCAAGACTACAAAATTTCCATATAGGATACGCAGCGTCACATCACACTATAATATAATCGAGTACAATGCAATAGCACACCTATATCAGTACCTTCAATGTTGAAGCAAAACTGTCTATGGTCATGCGCGAGCTAAGCAAGCAAACCATAGACGTATAAAGAAACATATAGAGATAAACACATATCTAGATCGAATTTTGAAAAATATAGAGACTCTCTAATCAGAAGGTTTGTTCTTTATTAAGCCTTCGCTACAATAAAGCCAGCGGCACACGGTGGTGCTATTTTATCTACCGGATTACTAAATGGATCTGCATGCTTGCTACTGTGTCGGCAACACTGATGGCATAGCTGCTGAGGTTTAGTGCGTTCGAAAATATGTTTGATCGGTATTGGGAAAAAATGTAAAGTTGACAGTATTGAAAACCCCTAGTGCTGCGTTTTGTTTCTCCCACTGGGATCATTAGAATTGTATTGTACCGTACACTCCGCGACAACGATTCGTTCCGTGGTCTCTCTCGCGGAGCAAGTCTAACCAATCAGTCACTGCCACGCTGCCAGCTGATTGGTCACTTCTACGCTTCCCTTGCCTCGAGAGAAAGGGGCCACGGAACGAATCATTGTCGCGCAGTGTACATACAATATATGAAAATGTTGCAATTACACTAATTATTATTATGAAACAATATATTTTACTCGAAAACATCATTTTTGAATCTTCGAGTAGTTCTTCTTCAGATAATGATGATAATAATGAAGAATTACAAAATATTTTATTCGAAATAGAGGTAATAACAATAGAGGTAAAAGAAAAATAGTATCAAAAATAACAGATAATTTGGAAAATGTTGTTACCAGATAGTAGCAAATTTTTTACTTGAGATATTAAAAGAGGTAAATAAGTAGTTAAATATATTTTATAATAATATGTTTAATAACATCACATATATTAGTATTAATACGAACGTGTGTTTTATATTAATAATGCTATAATTATAATAAAGTGACATAATTTACCTCAAATGTGATTTAAATTCAATATTTGTATATCTGGTAACAACATTTTCCAAATAATAATCTGTTATTTTTGGTACTATTTTCCTTTCACCTCTATTTTCGAATAAAATATTTTATAATTCTTCATTGTTATCATCACTATCTGAAGAAGAACTACTCGAAGATTCAAAAATGATGTTTTCGAGTAAAATATATTGTTTCATAATAATAATTAGTGTAATTGCAACACTTTCATATATTGTACTTTCATACGATACAATACAATCCTAATGATCCCAGTGGGAGAAACGAAACGCAGCATTGGGAGTTTTCAATACTGCCAACTTTATCTTTTTTCCCAACACCGACCAAACATATTTTCGAACGCACTAATTTTTGAACGCACTAGTGTGTTCCAAAATAGTTATATTTACTGGCAGTAAATCCGGGGCAGTTGGCAGCAGTGAAAATTACTGGTGCTGCGTTTTCATTTTACTGCCAGTAAAGTGCCAGTAAAGTCAATAAAAGATGTGTGCAAAAAAAGCATTTATTCTCCAATGTAAAAGCATTTATTCTTTTAGATTAACGTAGAAAAAATAAAAAGATTAGTAAAATGGAAGAATATATTTTACTCGAAAATATGAAAAAAATAATGCAAAAAGGAGATCTGTAAATACTTATATTAATTTTAAAAAACAGTTTATAATCGTATTGAAAAAAAATAATTTATATTGTATTTTATATGTGTTTTACAAATATATTTTACAAATAACTACAATAAAATAGAAATATTGACTCTTTTTCATAGAAAAAAGAGAAAGGGAAAAAAATCATAGGTTAGAATAATAGATTTGTTCTCTTATAATTATGATAACATTCACTCATGTTTATGAATTACACATAAATTACGTAAGTAATGTATTTGATATAAGAGTATTTAATAAATATTTATGGTATATAATCCTACACTTCTTTTTTTAATTAAATTGTATTATCTTGTATTTAATCACTTTTTACTGGATTACACTAACTTTTACTGGCATTTTACTGGCAGTAAAATAAAAACGCAGCACCAGTAATTTTCACTACTGCCAACTGCCCCGGTTTTACTGCCAGTAAATATAACTATTTTCAAACATAGCTTGACTGTGTTGCTCACTTGGCTTCAGACGGGGACTTTTTCACTAGTTTTCGTGCTAGCATCCTTTCAGTAATGACAAATAAATATGGAGCAAGCAATTATTACAACAGTGGAACGTAGAAAAAATGCAATTGCATTATTTCTACTTATAAATTACGACAAATTTTTCATTTCCTTTATTTGTGCTTATCATCGACATATACACTGGACTGAGCATTGCGATAGACAGGCGAGCGCCCGCTGTAGAGAGAGAGATACTACATAGGAGGCCTATATCTGTCTCTTTTGCTAGTATCTCATTGGTAACTTTGGTTCCCGCCCATCGAGGTGGGAAACAAAATTACCAATAAGATACTAGCAAAAGAGACAGACATAGGCCTCCCTAGTGTCCCTAGAATACAGAGTCTGAACAAGCCCCTCAAAATGGCGTCAATGTGTGATGTGAGTATACAGGGTGTCAATTAAGTCCCGGGACGGCTGAATATTTTCTCATGTAAGGTATTTTTGAAAAAGGTCAAGGTCATTTCTGAAGTAATTTTCAACGAGGAATTCAACGGTGACCTTCAATTTGACCTTGAGCTTGACCTTCAAGGTTATTTGAAGGTCAAAGTGTTTTTTTTAAATAGGAACCCCTATTTTTGATTGTATATTCTTATAGCTGACCTCGAGAGCTTTCCAAAACACTATAATAAAATATTTTTCCCTCAAGCATTTATCGAGTTATGATGCTTCAAATCATTTCTTAATTTTACATAAACCGTAAAATATCTTGTAAAATATTCACTTTTCGATTATTTTACCTTAATACTTTTATGTACAAAATAATGAGAGGAATCAATTGGTTTAAAGAAAACATACAGTTGTTTTTAAGAAAAAATATGGAATTGTTAATTGCAAATTACATATTTTTTCTTAAAAACAACTATATGTTTTCTTTACGCCAATTGATTCCTCTCATTATTTTGTACATAAAAGTATTAAGGTAAAATAATCGAAAAGTGAATATTTTACAAGATATTTTACGGTTTATGTAAAATTAAGAAATGATTTGAAGCATCATAACTCGATAAATGCTTGAGGGAAAAATATTTTATTATAGTGTTTTGGAAAGCTCTCGAGGTCAGCTATAAGAATATACAATCAAAAATAGGGGTTCCTATTTAAAAAAAACACTTTGACCTTCAAATAACCTTGAAGGTCAAGCTCAAGGTCAAATTGAAGGTCACCGTTGAATTCCTCGTTGAAAATTACTTCAGAAATGACCTTGACCTTTTTCAAAAATACCTTACATGAGAAAATATTCAGCCGTCCCGGGACTTAATTGACACCCTGTATAATGAAAGAGAGTTTCTTATAGAAGAATTAAAGATACATAAAGAGAAAAAGTAAGTAATGAATAACATAAATAATAACACATAATAATATATAGTATATATAATACTATATATAGTATACTATATATACTATATATATACTATATATATATAATATATATATATATATACTATATATATATACTATATATATATAATACTATATAATACTATATATAGTAATAATATATAGTAATGAATAACATAAATAATAACACATAATAATATATAATGTATAGCATATCAAATATTATAACATATAATTATTAATACATATAATACATATAAATTATTTTATCTCTAACTTCTAAATAATGTTAATAAAATATACATTTAATTTTAATTATAGGCGAAATCATGCTCATCATCCTTATTGTTGTGTCACCAAGTGTTCCAATTCCTCCTTAATATTATGTAATATTTTGTTATATCTATTTGTTTTGCTATGTATATGATCAAATTTTACACTTAGAATAAATAAAATATGAAATAAATCTTGTTCTTCAATGTTTTACCTTTATTCTAGGATGTTTTAATTTTACTTTTCATTATTTTATTTATATATATTACTTTATTTATATTAATGATGTTTTATTGTTCTTTGAATATATGTGCGTTCCCGCTGCATTTTGATTCGTTCCGCCATTTTGAGGGGCTTGCGAGCTGAATCAATGAAAAGATGTCTATGGCCGGTATTCATAGTCCGATCTTATATTTAAGATCGTCTTAAGTCTGGTCCGAGGTTGACTTGAGACCTCAATCAACCAATCAAATAGCTGCGTAGCATTTCAAGCTCGAACTTAAGACGATCTCAAATATAAGATCGGACTATGAATACCGGCTTATGAACTGTCCAGACTCTGTATTCTAGGGACACTAGGCCTCCCATGTAGTATCTCTCTCTCTACAGCGGGCGCTCGCCTGTCTATCGCAATGTTCAGTCCAGTGTACATGTCGATGATGCTCATCACAGACATAGTAAGTATAGACCGAGCATTCATTCTATAAGCGTTAAGGTGCCTTTACATGGGAGCGTTTTAGCGTCGAGCGTTAAAGCGTCAAAAAGTGTGACATGCGCAGTGTGCCTAGTGATTTGTTGAAACGCTGGAGCAGTCAGTAAATCATCTAAATTGCGGAATATTATCAAATATTATCATTATTATCAATATTATCAATATTATCATTATTATCAAATATTATCAATAAAATGTCAGTTAATTATCGTTATCATCAATGGTTATTAGAATGCAGCAGCATTATTAATCATGAATATAAGAAACAAAAAAAAGTTACGTGCACACTCCACACGTTATATCCTATACAAAGAATACATTGTAATAAATAATATTCATGTTGTATTTAGAAAACATATATTTATGCCAATTATTCCTTCTGTTTGGTTATGTTGTAATACGCTACTAATCGCGCAATTCTATAATATATATTGTATAATGATATCTATTATATCTATTATATCTATTATATTTATTATATATTATATATATTAATACATTTTCTATTAAGAATATACAATCTACTTACCTCTACCGTATTTATTAAAATTTTGTTACTAGACATTGTTTTAGCGGTTTTAGCGTCAAGATGCTGGAATCTGCCTGTTCAGA